GCTGCCATTCTGACTGGAGTGAGATGGTACCTTAGAGTAGTGTTGATTTGCATTTCTCTGATTGCTAGAGATGATGAGCATTTTTTCATATTGATTGTATATCCTCTTAGAAATGTCTGTTCAGGTCCTTGGCCCATTTATTGATTGGATTATTTGGTTTTTTGGTACTTTTCTTGTTGAGCTCTTTATATATACTAGAGATTAGAGCTCTATCTGATGTGTGAGGTTAAAAAAAAAAAAAAAAAAAAAAAAAAACTGTTCCCAGGATGTAGGTTCCCTGTTCACCTCAGATTATTTCTTTTGCTGAGAAAAAAAACTTCAGTATGAATCTATCCCATTTGTTGATTCTTGGTTTTTAATTCTTGTGCTATAGGTGAAAGACCTTTATTATTTTTTAAATTCATTTTTTAATGTGGTGCTGAGGATTAAACCCAAGGCCTCATATATGCTAGGCAAGTGCTCTACCACTGAGCCATAACCCCAGTCCTGCTTTTTATTTTTATTTTGGGTTTGTCAATCTACCTGCTTCAATTTTGGTAGATTATATACACTTATGCATTTAATCGTTTCTTCTAGACTTTCCAATGTACTTCAATTTTCCAGTAGTCCCTGGAATATTTTACAGTAGTCCCTGATAATCCTCTGAACTACATTGGTTTCTTTGGTAAGAGCTCCTCTTTTCCCTCTGATTTTAAGAATTCAACCTTCTTTTTGATTTGCTGGTCTAAGGGCTTTTTTTTTTTTCCATTTTATTCATTTCAAAGAACAAACTGTTTCTTCCGTCATTTGTATTATTCTTTCATTCTCCATTTTCTTAATTTTATTTCTGATCTTTTTTCTTCCCTTGTGCTGATTTGGGGAATAGTTTGCCTTTGTGTTTTTAATAAGACTGACTTTTTTTGTAGTATTTTGCATTTTTCTTGCTGTTGATTTCTTCTTTCAGGCTACAATGGCCTGATAACATACAAAGCATGAAGTCTTCATGTTCATATTTGTTAGAAAGTCATTTGTGACCTTAGATATGATCTATTTTGGAGACAGTTTCATCAACAGGTGACAATAAAGTGTAATTAGCTATTGTTAAAGTATCTCAGATATTTGTTATGTCCATTTTTTGTATACTGTGCTTTAACTACAGGTCAGTTTTTTTTCCTCTAAAATGAGGGCTGATTTTGTAACAGAAAGGTAAATGTGGGCACGTATAATCAGTTTCACATGATTTCAGGAACTTGGATTAACAAATGGTGGCAAATCTGTTGGCACTGGATTTTGAGAGAGTGGAGTTGGTAATACAATGATCAAACTGAAAGATGATAACTGGGTTTGATGACTCACACCTGTGATTCCAGGGAGGCAGGGGGATTGTGAGTTCAAAGCCAGCCTCTGCAGTCAAGTGGTGTCCTAAACAACTTGACAAGATCCTGTGTCCAAGTAAAATGTTTTAAAAAGCTGGGGTTGTGCCTAAGTGGAGAAGTGTTGGGTTCAATTCCTGGTACAAAAAATTACAATGATTGTGTAAGTTGGATTTTTTCATAAGCACATACATGTGAAGGGCAATCTGAAAATAGCACATCAGGTTTCTCTATGTGCCACTTATGTGACAGGGTTTGGTTTGCTCCTATAGATGGGCAACCTTACTCTTGTCTCACACAGCTTACCGTCCTTGGGTTGTTTCTCTGTTTTGTCTTCCTGGCCCGATCTTGTATCTAGGTGTGGTAGGTACAAATGCAGGGCTGATGTCCTAGTGGGGATGAGGGAGATGCACTTTGGGCTAATGCAAGAGCAAGGAGACTGGAAAGCCCCTGGGACTGAATGCCTTCTGAGATTGAGGACACTGATCAGCAGGGAAATGATGTTTGGGTTTGACACACAGGCAAATCTACAAAAAGTAGGTGTAAAACAGGATAAGGTTGTGGTCGACCACTTGGTGTTCTTAGCTTGTGTCAAGAAACTCATAATAATAGTATAGTGTTACTTAAGATAGGAGAAAAGATGATTTTAATAAATGGTATAAAACAATGGACATGAAGGAGGGAAATAAGAAAGTCTTTTAAAAAGAAATAACCAATATTAGTGAGGTACATTTGTGCTAGGGATGTGGTACAGAAGTTGCCTTGCTTGTGCAAGTACCCGGTTTTAATTTTCTTCAATTTTTTAATAGGGATTAGAAGAAATACGTTTTTTAAACTTTATTTATTCTAATTTGATATATCACGCAGAATGCGTTTCAGCTCATATTATACTAATAGAGCACATTTTTTTTCATGTCTCTGGTTGTACACAAAGTAGCCATATCATTTGTTTTAATAAATGTACTAAAGATAATGATATCCATCTCATTCCACAGTCTTTCCTACTTCCTTATCTCCTCTGTTCCCTTCCCACCCTCTGCCCTATCTAAAGTTCATCTATTTCTCCCATGCTCCCTTCCATCCCCACTAGGAATTAGCCTTTTTATATCAGAAAAGTTTCAGTATTTGTCTTATTGGGATTGGCTAACTTCACTTAGCATTATCTTCTCTAACTCCATCCATTTACCTGCAAGTGTCATGATTTTATTCTTTTATTGCTGTGTAATATTCCATTGTGTAGATGTAACACATTTTCTTTATAGATGCATCCACTGAAGGGCATCTAGGTTGGCTTTGCAGTTTATTGTGAATTGTACTGCTATAAACATTGATGTGGCTGTGTCTCTGTAGTATGCTATTTTTAGGTCTTTTGGGTATAATCCTAGAAGAGGGACAGCTGGGTCAAAGGGTTGTTCCATTCCTAACTTTCCAAGGAATCTTACTGCTTTCCATATTGGCTGCAGCAATCTGCAGTCCCACCAGCAATGTATGAGTGTACCTTTTCCCCCACATCCTCGCCAACAGTATTGTTGTTTGTCTTCATAATAGCTGCCATTCTGACTGGAGTGAGATGATATCTTAGTTGTAAGTTCTGTGTCTAATTCATTTCTTTGCATACAGATGCCAAGGTGTTCATAATTCATTAAAAAAATCATCATCTCCAGTGAAGTCCTGACTTCTCTTGTGTGTTTGAGTTTATTTCTAGGTTTTCATTCCACTAATCTCACCTTGCCACATCTCACCTTTTGAGTTACTATAAGTTCATAGTAAATCTCAGCATCAGATATTTCAGTCCTGTAACCTTATTCTACAGAACTGTTGATCACTCTGTATGCCTGCCTTCTCCATATAGCCTTTAGAAGCAATTTTTTAATATTTGTGCAACAGGTTGTTAGGATTTTATCATGGTTGTGTTTAATTCATTTATTAGAGTTATAGATAACTAATATATTAATATTGAATGCTCCTTTCTATGTTTGGTAGTTGTAGGGTCCCCCAATTTACAGGAAGTTGATCAGCAGTATAAATGACATTCTGGGACTTATAAGTGGCATCAGAATTAGGTGAAAGACTGCAAGTTTGAGACATGAACTAGTGACATTTGTGCCAACCAGTGCAAACAACATGTTCTTTTTTTAAAAATATTTTTTAGTTGTTGATGTACTTTTATTCTTTATTTATATGTGGTGCTGAGGATCAGACCTGCTGCCTCACACATGCTAGGCAAGTGCTCTGCCACTGAGCCACAACTCCAATTTAATTTTCTGCAAATTCACACATTTTCTTCGAGAAACAAATTTTAAAGGACATTGTAGGTGAGGACCTTAAACTGACTGCAGCTATGTGTCTTTTAACTGGTGAGAATTGTGACTCTGGAAGACTAAGTATTTCCTTTCTTTGCAAAAGGAATCTGAGGTATGTGGACCTTACTTTTAGCTGCCCAGAATTGCCCGACTCACTGCTTAGGAATGAGTCACAGAAGGCCACAGTGTTACAGGGAGGGTGCTCCACAGTTTGGAAAATATATTTATTCTAACATGTCAGGATTTTTATTTTTTTATTTTTTTTATTTTTTTGCATTTTGTAAACAGTGACTATAATCATCTGCTAACCTGATTTGTCTCATTCCTTTCATGAAATCTTGATACCATACAATTCCAATTGGCTCAAGTATTTAAATACTTTGCTATTGAAGATTTTTAAGTGGTTATTTGTGTAGATGGGGTGATTATGCTCTGATGTCAAGGTAATTCTTCCAATAAAGTAGCTATGTTTAAGTAACTAGGATCCATCCACACATGGAGTTCCCACATGGAAAACCTGTGTGGACACTTCTGGTGTCTTACTGATCTCATCATTTCTGTGTGCAAAAGGAAGATGACAGTCCTGTGCCTGTTTTATGGGTAATAATTGTATTATGTATTTCCTTAGTTGTATGAATTTTAAGCAACTTATTGTTATTACTTTTCCATTACAATTATATTAAAAGGTCTTATTAACCATTACTTTGCCTCAGTCTTTTGAACACATACATGCTGCTGTCTGGGCCTCTATTGAACCAAATTTATTCACTCGTTGAACTGCTTGTAGAACTTGAAATATTTCAAGGTTGTCTATTCACAAAGTGGAAGAATCACTTTACATGTCTCCAAATGTTAATATTTTATGAATATTTTACACATTGGGAATGTGTCATGGATCATACTTGATACTAATTATATTCAGGAGCTCAATCTATCTCATGGATACAAAGCAGAGAGAATAACTACCAGACTGGTTTCAAATGCTTTTTTACCACTCTTTTTGTCTCCCTTGGGCACAGTCACCTTATGAGAATGTCTCTGACAAGTCTGATTTGCATCTGGAATGTCCCCCAAATTTCATTCACTGATGGCAGAAGAGTTAGGAGTTGGGCTTTTAATCATTTCTTGGATTATGGTATATATCCTTCACTTCATTCTGATATGAAATACATACAATGTTTTTGGACTTAAGATACTTTCCATTATCTAATTCAGAGGAAAATACATATTACATAATTAAGGTCACTCTCCTACATGACAGTCAGTTCTACTAACTCTTAATTCAAATTAAAAACTGAATAACAGTTTAGTCCGTGTGCTATTGATCTACCAATTTGTATTTCAGGAGCCTTTGACATTTGGGGATGTGGCTATTGATTTCTCTGAGGAGGAATGGGAATGCCTGGATCCTGCCCAGCAGAATTTATATAGAGAAGTGATTTTGGAGACCTACAGTAACCTGGTCTTTGTGGGTGAGCATAAGTTTTTTTTTTTTTCACTAAAACGTCCTCATCAGAGTTCTTTCTGAATATGTGTAATGGATTTTCTGTGAAATTATCTGCCATGGAATGAAAGTCAAGATGGAAAAAGACTGCTCTTTTGAGAGTTGGTGTAAGTTGTATTTGAATAAGAGGATGTGTAAATTAATACATCAATGGATATTTACAGTTTGAAAAAATAAAGAAAAAGCCAACCAGCCATTGTGTACAGTAGGATCCATGTTATAGACTGGGATTCCTCATATCAGTTAATTGCTTCACAAATTAAGTTATGCATGATTCTTGTTTGTATTGCCAATCATGTTATATGTGCTTCTGGTTGTATAAATATTAAGCCTCTTTTGTCTGACTTTTGTATTTTATCTTGATTGGCTTTTCATTCTGCCCATGTACATGCAAATTGAAGTTTTCTATATGTAAATGTAATGGGGATTAATGGCAGTGATACTCTAATGCTGAACTACACCCCAAGCTCCTTTTCACTCATTGTTGGAGAGAGGTTCTCACTAAGTTATTGAGGATGTCTTGAATTTGCAATTCTCCTGCCTCAGACTTCTTAGTAGCCGAAATTACATGCATACCCATCATTTGTATGTGGATGAGTTTGTTCTTATTTATAGCATAAAGACCACATTATTTTAAATGTAGCTTTGAGAAATGTTGCAGTTCTCTTTATCTTAACTTTCATTGTAACCAAAACCACACAATAAAACTTACTGTCTCCAAAATTTTAAATATTCGGTAACATTAATTCAAATTGTTATGCAATGTATCTCTAAAAAGTTTACATCTCAAAAAAAAAAAAAAAAAAAAATCAATTCCTAGGAAGCAAGGGCTCATTTCTTTTTTTTTTTCAGAAAGCTTCTTTTTTAGTTTAGAGATGTTATATTCATATGATTCTGCAGTATTCTTTCTGTGACATATTTCAGTTAACCAAGTGTACATACATTTTGTAAGATATATAGTTAGAATAAATTCTTTCACTTCAAAGTTCTATAGTTTAATATGGTAAATTGGCTCATCTGTTCTTTTCAAGGGATAACTGGTTTGCATCCCCCATGATGGCTCTGTTGAATAACATTGTGCAACACTGGTGTTCAATGTTTTTAATTTGCTATTGATGTCAGGGCTTATTACCACACTCAGAAGTCTGTCTACCTGACTCCATGTCTGCATTTACAATTGAATGCTGTAACTTTTAGTATTTTTTTTTTAGCAGGAAAATATTCTTCTAATTTTATTTGCATTTTGGGGGATATTCATACAATTTAATTTTTCTCTGTAAAAGAAAATTTAACAACGGGAATTTGATGAATATTACCTGGAGCCTCTAGATAACTTTAAGTAATATAAACATCTTTTAATTTTATCTTTCAATTCTTTGAACACTCTTGGGCATGCTGTTGTTAATCAACTGACACATATTTAGGGATTTTTGAACATTCCTATTGACTTCAAATTTTTATTCCATGTTGGTTACAAAATAACTATCACTTAAATATTAACCTTTGTTTTAATACATAAAATTTGTCTATCCAGCATAATATCCCATTTGTGATTAAGAACAGGGATTCTATTAGTCTACAATAGTTTCAAAACCTCCTATGTTGCTGTGTACAACCACCCCTGACTCTTGTTAATAGTAATAAGCAGAAAATGTCTAAAATTCTTGACTAAACTTTATTTTTGTGTGTTGGTTTAGTTCAGTAAACTTCTTTTAAATGATAATTTACTATTCCCTTTGAGTAATTCATAACTTTTCTTAAAGTTGATTTAGCCCTGTTTTTTTTTCTGTTGGTAAGCAGCAATCCCTTTTTGAACAGTCCCCAAATATTTGCATGTTTCATATTTTTCTTTTTTAAATGAAACAGAAGAAAGTTGGTAGATTTTTAAAATATATTGTGAAGGAGGAAAGGCTGTGAAACACAATTTATCTTCCACTACTATATTATATTACTCTACATAGGAATGTACTCATCTTGGATACTGTGAACATTAAGATGGTTTGCAAAGTTCTCAAAGTAATTTCCTGTGTACATTTTTGATTTATATATTTCTGCAGTAATGATGGACTTGGATTTAATAATCCACTCCCCTGCTAATGTTCCTTTATTGCTGTACTTTCCTATGTTTGCAAAATATGCTCAGCCCCATACAGTAAGTAAACAAGATGGTTATTTTTATTTATTTCAGCCATGACTTCTCATCATCCTCAAGAAATTTTACCAGCGCAGGGAATAAAAGAGAGAGAGGGAAGATATGGAAAGAGTGACCTTGACTATTTACAACTAAGAAAACAATGGGAAAATATAGGTGAGAGTAAAGTTCAAAAATTATATTATAATAGACAAAAACCAATTAGTAGTCCCTATTTATGATAAAAATTATATTGTCAAAACACACCAGGAACAATATCTAAAAAAAAAAAAATTCAATTTATTCCACTTACTTTTGAGGAGCTTTATATGTCTTTAAGAATATACCACAGCCATTTTAAAGACTATATTTCCTCTGAAAGTAAATGTGGAAAATTTGAAAAGAAATATGGTCCATGCATCAGTTTTTAACTTGGCCAATTATTAATGTAGCACTAAATTAAACTTCCAGTCAAACATTCACACAGAGAAGATATTTAAGACAAATTTCTTAAAGTGATACTTTGGAGAGTTTCTTTACAAAATGTCCATTTTTCTGCAACAAAACAGTAATTTCTCCTTGTGCCCAAGTAGACAATATTAAGAATTGTAGAAAGGTTCCTACTTCCCCACTATTGCTCAATGACAATTCTGATACAGATTTCTGGAAAGTGCACTATATAGATAATGCTATAAAGTAACACCATTAGCCATGTCTCCACCCTGAGCAATTACCAGGATATTTACATTGCTGATAAAAATTACGAATATAGAGAAACTCCTAGTCATTTTCTAAAGGAAATTTACCAAAATGAAAAATGTGGGAAAGTCTTGCTTCAGTACTCAGAAGCTATTACTCATCCAAATATTCATAGTCAAGACAAAATGTGCAAGTGTAAGGTATGTGAAAGGGCTCTTAATGACAGTGCAGAGCTTGCTCAATACAAGAGAATTTATAGAGAAGGAGAGCCCTATAAGTTTAGAAGATGTTGAGCAAGCCAATACTTTTAAATTTGTAGGGTTTATCACTGTCAAAGAAAGCAGAAAAACCTTTAGTGAAAGGTTACAACTGGTTAAACTTCAGGGGATTTATACTGAAGACATGTAAATGTAAAAAGTATAGCAAAGCCTTAAAAGATTGTTCAACTCTTACTCAACACCAAAAAATTTATTCTGCAGCGAAGACCTACGAATGTGAAGAATGCAACATACTGAAGAACTTCATTCAACATCACAGTGTTCATACAGGAGATATGCCATGTAAAGAATGTGAAAAAACTTCAAATAAAAGCTCCAATCTTATTTGTCACCAGTGGACATACACTGGAGAGATGCCCCACATATGTAAACAATTTTGTGAAGCTTTCAGTCAAAAACCAAGCCTTAAAAATCACCAGAGAATTCATATTGGAGAGAAGCCCTACAAATGTAAAGTGTGCGGCAAAAGTTTTAACGCAAATTCACATCTTGATCGCCACAACAGGATTCATACTGGAGAGAAGCCTTACAAATGTAAAGTGTGTGACAAGCGTTTTAATCAATCATCATCACTTACTCAGCACCAGCGAATCCACACTGGAGAGAAGCCCTACAGCTGTAAAGAATGTGGCAAAGCTTTTAATAGCATCTCACACCATAATTATCACAAAAGGATTCATACTGGAGAGAAGCCTTACAAATGTACAGAATGTGGCAGAGCTTTTAATAGCGTCTCACACCATAATTATCACAAGAGGATTCATACTGGAGAGAAGCCCTACAAATGTGAAGAGTGTGGCAAAGCATTTAATAGCATCTCACAGCATAATTATCACAAAAGGATTCATACTGGAGAGAAGCCTTACAAATGTAGAGAGTGTGGCAAAGCTTTTAATAAATTTTCAAAACTTAGTTGCCACACGAGGATTCATACTGGAGAGAAGCCCTACAAATGTGAAGAGTGTGGCAAAACTTTTAGTCAAAAAACATCACTTACTCAGCACCAGCGAATCCACACTGGAGAGAAGCCCTACAAATGTGAAGAGTGTGGCAAAGCTTTTAATAGCATCTCACAGCATAATTATCACAAAAGGATTCACACTGGAGAGAAGCCCTACAAATGTGAAGAGTGTGGCAAAGCTTTTAATACCATCTCACATCTTAGTTGCCACAAGAGGATTCATACTGGAGAGAAGCCCTACAACTGTAAAGTGTGTGACAAGCGTTTTAGTCAAAAAACATCACTTACTCAGCACCAGCGAATCCACACTGGAGAGAAGCCCTACAGCTGTAAAGAATGTGGCAAAGCTTTTAATAGCATCTCACACCGTAATTATCACAAAAGGATTCATACTGGAGAGAAGCCTTACAAATGTACAGAATGTGGCAGAGCTTTTAATAGCGTCTCACACCATAATTATCACAAGAGGATTCATACTGGAGAGAAGCCCTACAACTGTGAAGAGTGTGGCAAAACTTTTACTCAAAAAACATCACTTACTCAGCACCAGCGAATCCACACTGGAGAGAAGCCCTACAAATGTAGAGAATGTGGCAAAGCTTTTAGTAAATTTTCATATCTTAGTTGCCACAAGAGGATTCATACTGGAGAGAAGCCCTACAAATGTGAAGAGTGTGGCAAAACTTTTAATCAATCATCATCACTTACTCGGCACCAGCGAATCCACACTGGAGAGAAGCCCTACAAATGTGAAGAGTGTGGCAAAGCTTTTGATAACGTCTCACGTCTTAGTTGCCACAAGAGGATTCATACTGGTGAGAAGCCGTACAAATGTGAAGAATGTGGCAGGGATTTTTATCAAAAATCATCACTTACTCAACACCAGAAAACCCATCCTAGAGAGAAGTCCTATAAATGTGAAGAATGGCAAAGCTTTTAAAATTGAAGATCACATCTTAGTAACATTATAGAATTTATACTGGAGAGAAGTTTTACAAGGAAAACATTGCATCAGTGTCTTTAACGATGAATCAACCCTTATTTCACAGTAGTTCAACACTATTTCACACCAGAGAGATGATAGCACAGAAATTATACAAGTGTAAAATAGGTGTCAGAGTCTCCAACAGTTGTTCACACCCTACTCAACACCTCAGAATTCATACAAGTAAGAGGACATGTGGAAAAACTTTTGCAAAGCTTTTGGCCATTGATCAAACATTTTTGAAACACTGGAGGATTTATACCATATAGAAACCCAGAGAATGTGTCCAAGACTGTATTCAAATTTCAGACATTTTTCAGTTTCTTACCTCATACCTGTAGAAAATGTGGTATACCATTTGTCCAAAGTATGTACCATAGATAACAGCAAAATATTTACAAAAACACCTTGACAAGTATAAAAATTTGTAGTAAATTTCTTATCTATAGCCCATCCCTTGAAGTATTTGGGACCTAGGAGGGAAAAAATCATTTAAATGTAGAAAATGGGTTATTGCTTTTGACATTTGCTGAAAATTTTCTTAACATCTTTAACTGATATTTCCTTATTTCTACAATACAAATACAGAATAGTGCATCCCTAAAAGGATATAATTTTACTGTAAATCAACAATTACTAAATATTCTCATTTTTCACAGCTGGAGAAAACATGATTCTCATTGTTGATTATTACAGAAGTCTCTTAATGTTTATATGAAATTTTAAATTTTTAGTTTTTATTTTTGTACTTAAACTTAGGGACACTTAATCAGTAAACTGCATCCCCAGATTTTTTTTCATTTTTATTTAGAGATAGGGTTTGCTAAGTTGTTTAGGGCCTCACCAAGGTATGGAGCCTGGCTTTTAACTTTCAAAGCTTCTCACGTCCCTAGGGTCACAGGCATGGACCACCATGCCCATTTTACAAAGCATTTTTACTTATATTTGCCTTACGGATGCAATTTGTTACTAAATAAAGTGAATTTCTTAATGTTAACCTTGTCATGCATTTAATGACATTATTAGGTCACATACCTCCCAATATTCACTTTGCTAATGGATCAAATATAGCAAAACATTCTATTGGGTAAATAATGCTATATCGTCTCCATGGATTATTTCATATGTTTAATCAAGTTTTATTTGAGGAATATTTATGTAGATTATATACTGTTGTTTGTAATTATGCAAAAATTAAGGTACAGGAAGGACCTAGGAATACTAAAATGATGCCCAGATATCCCTAGTTTGAATTACAACTTTAACATTTCACCTTGTACAGTTGCAGTACTCCCTAAGGGATCTACAAATCTGGAGAGTTATACAAGCTCCCAATCAGGGAGATGAGAAAGACCCAGAGAGTAGAAGCCAACATGCATATTCAGGTAGAAAAAGGAGGGTTACAGAAGGGGGAAATAGTCTCATTGTTTCCTGGGGAAAACCCTGGTCCAAAGGCCCATCCTGATTTTTGGACTGAAGAAACCTTGCAGTTGCTCATGAATTCTATGAGAGTCATCACTGAGGAGACTGTACTGACCTCAAATGTTGGAAAAACATCACAATATAGGACCTCCCCTTTAGTCTTCGATACCCAGTAGAAAAGTGTAACCAGATACATGTAAAATGACTGTAAAAATAAAAAGACATGTGGGGGCATAAATGCTCCTATAGTATTTTTCATTTCATTGGATTTTGTAGACCATTTTCGTTCTACTTACTTACAATGTAACGTTTGTTATACTTATTGGATTATACGATAGATAGCATGTGTCATGGTCTCCCAGACCCCTCTGCAACCAGTGATTATAAGATACTATAAACTAACCCTGTCCCTCCTCAGATCTTACAGCTCCAGGAGCCCATGACACCAAAGAGAGAGAGACACAATTTTGATTGAAATAAACCTCCAGACTCTCATCTACAAGTCCTGTTCAAAAAGTAAAAACACAATATTCTCTGCATATGTCTTTGGGTCAAGAAAACACCATCCAAAAACGTTTCATTTAACTTTATTTGGAAAAATAAATATTGAAATGATAAATTCTAGGAGAATAATATTGACACCATTCTTTATTCCAAGAGGTAAATCTCTAGGTTTCATGCTTATCTCCATGCCATGTTATTTTACACAGAACTGGCTTCATTTTACATGTGAGAGTTAACTATTATTAGGCCCAGAGGGAAGATTCAGTACTAGAGGTCTAAGGAAAATACTAAAGATCTTCCCTTTGCATGTGCCTTTATGAGTCTGCATATCCTTTATGAAACAGCTAAAGATTGCCGATTTCTCAATACATCTGGCTCAGTCATTGGAACCCCAATTTATTTGGTCATCTCAAGGCTATCACTCCCTCCTTGGGATCTTACCTGTTCTCGACAGTGCTCTTCAGGGGATCACTAGGACATGCAAGCCGTTTCTAACTTGTATTTATTCAGCCGCACTTTAAATACAAGTTAGAACAAGACTTCAGACTCTCACCTGTGGAGAGGATGCTCTGCCCAGGACTTCCCAGTCAGGACCCTGAAAAGCTGTTTGGGACTTTCCAGTACATAGGTTCAGTGTTGGGGTTTTCCTAGTCTGGCAATACAGTTGCCTGTGTCTGTTACTTTTGCTTTCTCTTGCTTTCATAGTATTACTCAAAGAAACACTGTCTGGTGTGAAGAGAGTGTCGTCCTTATCTATTGGACCTGACCTGCCAAGTTGAGCAACTGCCCACATACTGAATGTCACAAACACATATATGTGTTATCTGATCAGTAACTAGTGTATCTTTCAACTGCATGATTTTTTATTGCATGCGGGAGGAAATTGAGAATGCTTTCTTGAGTGCATACAGCACTATTAATAGTATTCATAACACTGCTATGTAATGTTTTCTCTCTAATCAACTTGTAAGTATTGTTCTTGTGCTGCTTTGTAAAACAAATAGAAAAGAGTTGCAAACCAAAAATTTTGTGATAATAGATAGTTGCACAGACTGACTTGGGCAACTCTATTTACCAATGTTTGTTATTTTGTATGGGCTCAAGGTACTTTTCTTTAACCTTAATGACATTAGCATTTATTGAAGAGTTTTTAACTCACAAAACTTCTCTGTATACAAACTTTCCCTCATCATTTTTAAAGTTTCTTATTTTTAGGTATACATGACAGTAGAGCAAATTTTGACATATTACACATACATGGAGTAAAACATTTTAGTTAGCATTCCATTCTTGAGGTGTACATGGTGTGAACCTTCACTGGTGATGTGTTTGTATGTAAACATAGAAAAGTTGTGTCTGATTCATTCTACTGTCATTTCTATTCCTATTTCCCTTTTCTTCCCTTCGTTCCAACTTTGTCTAATCTAGTGAATTTCTATTCTCTCCCCCACCGTTGAGTGGTTTAACATCCATATATATATATAATATATATATATATATAATTATATTATATGTAATGTCTGTTTCATTCTACTATCCTTCCTATCCCCATATCCCCTCCCCTCCCTGCACTCCTCTCTACTTATTCTAAAGTAACTATTCTTCCCCACCCCTCATTGTGAGTTAGCATCCACTTATCAGAGATAACATTTGGCGTGTGTGTTGGCTTATTTCACTTAGCATGATATTCTCCAACTCCATCCATTTACCACCAAATGGCATAGTTTCATTCATCTTTAAGGTTAAATAATATTCCCTTGGTGGGGGGAATATATATAATCACATTTTGTTATCCATTCATCTGTTGAAGGAAACCTAGGTTGGTTCTAGGGTTTAGCTGTTGTGAATTGTGCTGCTGTAAACCTTGGTGTGGCTGTGTCCCTGTAGTATGCCGTTTTTAAGTCCTTTGGGTATAGTCCGAGGACAGGGCTAGCTGGGACAAATGGTGGTTCCATTGTGGTTTTGCAAGGAGTCTCCATACTGCTTTCCATGGTGGTTGCACAAATTTGCAGTCAGTCCCATGAGCAATGTGTGAGTGTTCCTTTTCCCCCACATCCTCACCAACATTTATTGTTGCCTGTATTAATCTTTGCCATTCTGACTAAAGTGAGATAAAAAAATTAAAGTAATTTTGATTTACATTTTCCTAATTGCTAGATGTGTTGAACACTTTTTCATGTACTTGTTAATGGATTATATTTCTTCCTGAGAAGTGTCTGTTCAGTTACTTAGCCCATTTGTTAATTCAAACAACAACAAACCAATTAAGTTTTGAGTTCTTTATATACCCTAGAGATTAATGCTTTATCTGAGGTATATGTGGTATAGATTTTATACAAATCTGTAGGTTCTCTCTTCACATTATTGTTTCTTTTGCTGAGAAGCAGCTTTTTAGGTTGAATCTATCCCATTTATTGATTCTTGATTTTTAATTCTTGTGCTGTAGGGGTCTTGTTATGGATGTCAGATTATGGATTAATATTTACCTCAGATTTTTAAATGGCATCCCAATTTCATGAATGTTTCACTTTCATTGTTTCTCTTACTATCTTGCCTTATAGATCTACATGTTCTAAAAGGTCATGAAATTATCTAGCTTCACATGCATGATTTTCTGATGACTGTTATTTTTCAATATGTAGCTTCAGATTATTTGAAATAGATATCTACTATTTCAGACTCTTTAATTAAAGCACATACATGCCTTGTGTAGGAAATATTCCATCAGTAGATCAACATTATATATATAAAAATATATAAAAGCCTGATTTCAAATGCATGCACATCCACTCCAGAGCTTGGCCCAGAACACTTATTCTATATTAGTTCTACATTTTAGAACCTCCGTGAAAGCTGTTATAAATCCAAAGCCCGAGACACACTCCCCAGACTTTTTTTTTTTTTTTTTAGGGGGGACAATGAAGTTTGAACTCAGGGACACTCAACCACTGAGCCACATCCCTCGCCCTATTTTATGTAGAGATAGAGATTTACTAAGCAGCTCAGTGAGATCCTTTCACTGAGGCTGGCTCTGAACTCATGATCCTCCTTCCTCAGCCTTCCAAGCTGCTGAGATTACAGGCATGTGCCACCATGCCTAGCTCCCCAGAGAGCCTTCCTTAACTGATTGGAACCCACTTGTTCAGTGTATTGTGGCCTAATCCTCACAATTAGAGATGAAATTACTTTCCTCTTTATTAAAAATCAGGGCAACTTACACAAAGATTGGATTAAACAGCGCCTAGTTACACAGCAAGTCCACATGATAATAAAGGTGTGGTCTGCAATTCTCCTCTCCAAAGAGCTCTTCTTGGCTCCACAAAGTTAGGAGTATTCACCAACCCTCTGCCATGCTCATTCCAGAAGCCTCCCAGGAGGCGAGTGTATATGAGGGACAGCATTTCAGGTGGCACCTTGATGATCATTGGGCCATGCCATGGATTAAGGCAGAGTCCATGTCAGAGGCTCAAAACTTTCATGTGGCTGGTCCAGGATAGGGGCTGCCTGAGGGGATACTTTTCCTCCGCCCTTGATGTGTCTTGCCTAACTGTGTGTATACTGAAATACTTGTTCAACGACTTGCACTCTTCCTATTTTATGTTTCCCTCTCATGTGGTTTTGGAGTTCTCATGCTTTGGCAATTATTGTGACTTTTGTCTTCAGTTTTACAACCTCCTTCAGCCCATCCATGTGGAATTTCTGTCTGTGGATATTAGTTTTCATTTTATATATTTCCATTTAGTCCAAATTTCCAGTTACCTCTAGAAAGAACAAATGTTTGATTCATTATCATGCCTGTACTAACCCTTCACATGTTGATAATGGTGGTGATTAAGAACTATCTTCTGATTTCTACAACTGGAACATCTTCCATCGCAATATCAGTCAGGAAAACAGACCCTCCTGTAGGAACATTTGGGTTTCCCCGTAATGAGAGCTTGGGGTCTGTAGAGAAGTGCATGGGCTCTCTCGTACCCTGAGGAGGTCCACAGAACAGGGTAGAGGAGAGTGGCTGTGGAGTCTCTAATCAACACCTCCAGACACCAAGCAGGAAGCAGGTCTGATTTTATTGTGTAGTTACCATGTATATGTACTCAGGCAGTGCCTAAGCAAAATATAGGCAACCACCAATGCAATGTCTGCTAACAGTCCTTGCAGTGAACAATCAAGGAGTGGGACTGCAACACATGGCCTTGTGCCCAGAGCTGTGCTGATGGGGTAAGCAGTTTGCCACTCACACGCCTAGCATGGGGAGTGGCCTGCCATGCAGACACCTTTAACCTATGCCCTGTATGCAGTACTCCATGCACTCGTCCCCACAGAGAAGCACCTCTGAGGCTTCTTCTTTCTTGACTTTAAAGAACAATTTCTCTTCTAGTGGCCTTTCTCAGGAGATATTTAAAATAATAGTAATATAAATACCTTAGATTTACAAAAGCAACCCATGGATCTCACCTCTACTTCTCACAAAGAGCTGCCATTCATTCAGTCATGTCTTGCCTAGGGTTTGCTCATCATGTTACTGGAGGGTGTGTGTTGAAGCAGAGGTGCTGGGTGATGGTGTTGCCCTCTGAGGTGGCAGTCATTTCTTCCTAGTGCTCTTCATAGATTCCCAGCACACAAAGAGCCACAGGTCAGAGGTTTCTGCCGAGGCTGACATCAGTCCCAATCCTACTTGCTTGAAGCAAGTCCAGTCTCAATTCTCCATCTCCCTTTTGTCTGTTTTTATGTTACCGAATACCAAGGGGACATGGGGAGGGTTGGCAGTAGTGGTGAAGCTGAGCTCTGTGATGAGGACAACCGCAAGCTGTAAGTGTGCACTTGAGTTGATAAGGGTTGAGGAAATAGGATCTGTCACCCCTGTGAGCAGGATGGTGCTCACACTGCATACGGGAGAAGAGATGTTTCTTCCTCTCACTTTCACCCTAGAATGTGCCCACCCAGAGGATCCAAATAACCCTAACATGCAGCAGGGTGTCCTTCTCCTGTAATTCTCTCTACATCTGTCCTGACCACCAGCTCGTGTCCACTGCCTGAGCAGTCCTCACTAGATGGTTGCAACACAGATGATGGTGCATGTATCACACAGCCTCCCCTGACTTTAGTGACAGCACCATATCTAACATGACTCCTTCCTAGATCCAGATACTAGAGGGAGTCTTTACTATCAGCTCTAACAAACAAAACTTCTGATTTTTTTTTTTGAAAATTTCTTTTTCATGTGTGATCTGTTTTTTCTCATCTCCTCACTTGGCCTTTTCTTCCTCTTACCATATGTGAATTCTTCAAATGTAATCAATGTCGGAAATCTGTTTGATTCCCTGTGATTTACACATCCTTCCACACAGAATGCCCAATCAAGCTGGGAGGCAGCTTGATTTCTCCAGTACATAAAGGACATGAGTGCCCAGTACGATAGGGCATTCCTGGACCAAGCTGGAAGCATCACTCCGTAGACCCTTGTTTGAGGGGTGTTTCTCAGATTACCTCCCTGATGTCAGAGAGCTTGTGTTATGTCTCATGATCTCCTGGACTATGTTGTGCCAGGCATAATGTGCACAGCTGGGAAGGTACATAGCTCAGGATTTCAGTCATCTATGAATCATTCCCATTCTCCAGGATGCTTCTTAACAACAATGGAACTCAGCAGGCACATTACTATAGATATCTCTTCACAACACTACCATGATATATTTACACAATTTTAATCATACTTGATGCACATCATTTAGTGATGATTGTGGTTCAAAACTGGAGCTAGTAGAATCACCAGACTGGGCTTTCTTCTGGCACTACCTGTATGAAGATTAGTTCTCCTCATTATTTACATGATATATGTACACAATTTTAATCATATATACTTGATGGTCATTATTTAGTGATATGATTGTAGTTCAAAACTGGAGATTGGTCATCCTGCAGACTGCTTTCTCCTGGAACTACCTGTATGAAGATTAGTTCTCCTTATGATTGCATGAAATTGTGTCCCTTTCTTTGAAGCATACTATCAGGAAAGGGTCTAAATTTTTCCTGATACAGTTATTGAAATTTACCATCAGAAAACAATTTTCCAACAGTTTCAAGGCAATGAACAATCCATCCTTGAGTTCTTGACTATTACTGCAAATTCATGGCACCTGCACACTCCTGTAGGTATGACTGCAGATTCCTCAGTCACACCTTAAATTCATCCAATGGCCTTGAGATGCACGTGATTAAAACATGTCATTTAATGACTGTTAGAAAACTTGGATTGTGTAAGATTCAAATGTTTAAAACAAATTAAAGCAGATTCTGTGTGTCACAGAAAAGTGATACAATGCAGTTTTTCATTTTAAATACAGTTTTTTCATTTTGTTGGTGTTGAGACAAGGCAATTTTAAAACCCTGTTTCTTTCCTTTGTATACCACAGATTGAACCCAGGGCACTTAGTCATTAAACTATCTCACCAGCCACTTTTCATATTGGAGGAAAATCTTGCTAAGTTACTGAGCTTTGGCATTGCAATCCTCTGACTCCTGAGCCAATGGGATTGCAGGCATTCAGCCTCACCTAAAACAATTTTAAGTTATTTTTACATGCTAATATAGATCTATTTAAGCTTATACTATAAAAAATATTTTACATAAGTCAAATATTATACAAATAAGAATTGGCATATGCCATTTATATATAGATCTCACCAAAAAAGACCTAAGGCCTAGTGATTAAATGTGAACCCTAAAATATTTTGGGGGGTACCAAGGATTAAACTCGGGGGCACTCAAACAGTGAGCCACATCCCCACTCCTATTTTATATTTTATTTAGAGACAGCATCTCACCAAGTTGCTCAGGGCCTTGCTGTTGCTGGATTTGAACTCACCATCCTCCTGTCTTAGCCTCCCAAGGCACTGGGATTATAGTTTACAATTTTAAAATTTATATTCTTTTTTTCTGGACTTACCATGGGAGATTGTCTTTTTCTACTGATTTTTCATATTTTACAAATCTTGTATGTTTGCACTCATATGTTGAGGCTGAAAAAGTTGATCACAAAGAACCACAAGAGAGAAAAGCTTTTTGTATCTGTTAGAAGAGACAGTTGGCAAGGAGTGCCGAAAAGCAGTTAAGAGGGTTTTATAGCCCATAGTTTGAATTGTATAAGTAATTATTAGACTGTGGACATTCTAACAAGATTTTGCAGGTTTCAAACAACCAAATGTTATTTTAGAAGGTAGAAATTGCACTGATTTGATCAATACACATGTTCAATTAAAATGCTGGATCCTATATGTAGGTACAAATTAAAAATTAAACAATAATTAACACTTCAACTAGCAAAAATAAACAAAGATGGCTGTAAATACAAACTGTCTCAATAGCAACCCTAAATGTTAGTGGCTTAAACACACCAATCAAAAGACATAGGCTAGCAGCCTGGATTAAAAAAAAAATCCAACAATATGCTGCCTCCAGGAGACTCATTTGATAGGAAAAGACAGACTAAAGGTGAAAGGTTGGGAAAAACATTCCACTTACATGAATCTTGAAAGCAAGCAGGTCTCCATACTAATATCAAATAAAGTAGACTCAAGTCAAAGTTAATCAAAAGAGATAAAGAAGAACATTACCTACTGCTCAAGGGAACCATCACCAACAAGACATAACAATCAAATATATATGCCCCAAACAATGGTACACCTATGTTCAAACAAACTCTTCTCAAGTTCAAGAGTCAAACTGACCACAACATGATCTTGGGTGACTTTCACACACCTCTCACCACTGGACAGATCTTCCAAACAAAAGTTGAATAAGGAAACTATAGAACTCAATAACACAATCAATAACTTAGACTTAATTGACATCTATAGACTATATCAACCAATATCAAGTGGATAAACTTTCTTCTCAGCAGCACATGGATTCTTCTCAAAAATAGACCATATATTATGCCACAGGGCAACTCTTAGCAAATACAAAGAAGTAGAGATACTACCATGCATTTTATCATATCATAATGGAATGAAATTGGAAATCAATAAGGACGAAAATGCTACAGAATGAACAATGGGTTACAGAAGACATCAAGGAGGAGATTAAAAAATTCTTATAAGTGAAAATACAGACACAACATATCGAAATCTCTGGGACACTATGACAGCAGCACTAAGAGGAAAATCCATTGCATGGAGTTCATTCCTTAATAGAAAGAACTTAATAGAAAGATCCAACAAATAAATGACCTCACATTACATCTCAAAGCCCTAGAAAAAGAAAAAAAAAATCAGCAGGAAAACAAGAAAAAAAAAATCAGCTGAAACCAATGAAACTGAAACAAAAGAAACAATTGAAAAAATTTACAAAACTAAAAGTTGGTTCTTTGAAAAAAAATAAAATTGACAGACCCTTAGCCATGCTAACAAAGAGAGAGAAATCAAATTACCAGAAGTCATAAAAAAGGCAATATCACAGCAGACACTACAGAAATACAAAGGATAATTAGAAATTATTTTGAAACCGTATACTCTAATAGCTTATACTCTGATAGAATAGAAGTTAGTGAAGGCATCAATAAATTCCTTAAGTCATGTGATCCGCCCAGATTGAGTCAGGAAGATATAACACAACTTAAACAGACCAATATCAAGTGAGGAAATAGAAGAAGCCATCAGAAGATTCCCAACCAAGAAAAGCCAAGTACTGGATGGATATGCAGCCAAGTTTTACTAGACCTTTAAAGAAGTAATACCAATACTCTTCAGCCTATTTCTGGCAATAGAAAAAGAGGGAGTACTTCCAAATTCATTCTACGAGGCCAATATCACCCTGATCCCAAAACCAGGCAAAGACACTTCAAAGAAAGAAAACTTCAGACCAATCTCTCTAATGAATATAAATGCAAAAATCCTCAATAAAATTCTGGCAAATCAAATACAAAAACATCTCAAAAATATCATGCACCATGATCAAGTGGGATTCATCCCCAGGATGCAAGGTTGGTTCAAAATACAGAAATCAATAAATGTAATTCATCACACCAATAGACTTAAAGAACCATATGATCATCCCAGTAGATGCAGAAAAGCATTTGACAAAATACAGCACCCCTTCATGTTCAAAACACTAGAAAAAATAGGGATAGCAGGACATATCTCAACATTCTAAAGGCTGTCTACACTACACTAAGCCTCAGGCCGACATCATTCTCAATCGAGAAAAACTGAAGGCATTCCCTCTAAATATTGAACAAGACAGGGATGCCCTCTCTCACCACTTCTATTCAATATAGTTCTTGAGACACTGGCCAAAGCAATTAGATGAAAGAAATTAAAGGAAAAGTATAGGAAAAGAAGAACTTAAACTAGCACTATTTGTTGACAATTGGATTCTATCCCTAGAAGACCCAAAAAAACTACACCAGAAAACTTCTAGAACTAGTAAATGAATTCAGCAAAGTAGCAGGATATAAAATAAACACACATAAATCAAAGGCATTTCTGTATATCACTGACAAGTCCTCTGAGAAGGAAATGAGGAAAACTACCCATTCACAAGATCCTCAAAAAAATAGATAAATAGATAAAGTACTTGGGAATCAACTTAACAAAAGAGGTGAAAGATCTATACAATGAGAACTACAGAACCCTAAAGCAAGAAATCAAAGAAGACCTTAGAAGATGAAAAGATGTACCTTGCTCCTGGAGAAGCAGAATTAAAATTATCAAAATTACCATACTAACAAAATAACTATACAGGTTCAGTGTAATTCCAATAAAAACCCCAATGACATTGATCATAGAAATAGAAAAAGCAATCATGAAATTCATCTGGAAAAATAAGAGACCCAGAATAGCTAAAGTAATTCTAAGCAGGAAGAGCAGAACAGGTGGCATCACTATACCAGACCCTAAACTATAACACAGAGCAATAGTAAAAAAAAAAAAAAAAAAAAACAGCATGGTACTGGAACCAAAACAGGAGGGTAGACCAATGGTACAGAATAGAGGAAACAGACTGACCCACAAAACTACAATTATCTTATATTAGACAATATAAGATAAAACTCAGATGCACAAAACTCAAAGTGGATCAAGGACCTAGGAATTAAAGCAGAGACTATGCAGCTAACAGAATAAAAAGTAGGCTCTAATCTTCATCATGTGGGGTTAGGCCCCAACTTCCTTAATAAGAAACCTATAGCACAAGAATCAACAAATGGGATGGATTCAAACTAAAAAGTTTTTCTCAGCAAAATAATAATAACAATAATTTGTGAGGTGAACAGAAAGCCTACATCCTAGGAGTGAATCTTTACCCCTCACACATCAGATCAAACACTAATCTTGAGGGTATATAAAGAACTCACCAAGCTAAGCACAAAAAAAAAAAAAAAAAAAAAAAAACCTAGTCAACAAATGGGCCAAGGACATGAACAGACACTTCTCAGAAGAGAACATGAAATCAATCAACAAATATGAAAAAATTCCCATCATTCTAGCAATTAGAGAAATGCAAATCAAAACTACTCCAAGATTCATCTCACTCCAGTCAGAATGGCAGCTATTATGGAGACACACAACAACAAGTGTTGGCAAGAATGTGGGGGAAACAGAACACTCATACACTGCTGGTGGGACTGCAAATTGGTGCAGCTAATTTGGAAAGCAGTATGGAGATTCCCTGGAAAGCTGGGAATGGAACCACCACTTGACCCATCTATTTCTTTTCTTGGACTATACCCAAAGGACTTAAAAACAGCGTATTACAGGGACACAGCCACATCAATGTTTATAGCAGCACAATTCACAATAGTTAAACTGGGCCAACCTTGCTATCCTTCAGTGGATAGATTAAAAAACTGGCATTTATATATAGTAGAATATTACTCAGCACTAAAAAAGAATAAAATCATGGCATTTGCTGGTAAATGGATGGCGTTGGAAAAGATAATGCTAAGTGACATTAGCCAATCCCAAAAAAACAAATGCCAAATATTTTCTCTGATATAAGGGGGTGACTCACACTGGGGTAGAAAGGGAGAGCATGGGAGGATTAGATTAATTCTAGATAGGGAAGAGGGGTGGGGAGGGAAAGGGAGGGGGAAGGCGATTAGCAAGGACGGTGGAATATGCTAGACATCATTATACAAAATACATGTATGAAGATTTGAATTTGGTGACAACATACCTTTCATAGAGATATGAAAAATTGTGGTATATATGTGTATTAAGAATTGTAATGCAAAAAAGAGTACTTGTTTAATGGCATAAATTAGCGTGAACATTATTTATATACAGAGATATGAGAAATTGTGCTCTATATGTATAATAAGGATTGTAATGCATTCCACTATTGCCATGTATTAAAAAAAATAAATTTACAAAAAAGAAAGGTATTGGAACTCCTTGGGGACACTATAAGCCTACAGGGTAAAAATTGTAACACCTTGAAAACACAGAGCTGGAAGGGAAGAAGCATGAACAACATGAAAAACCAAGCAAGAATGTGCCCCAAACAAAGATGCTACATTATTAGAACCCATGGTCAGAACAGCAGGAGAAATGACAGAAGGAGTGGAGGAGGTACATAATTTTCTGTGAATTAAAGGATGATATAAGAGAGCAAATATAGGCAGCAAAGATCATTTTGATAAAGAGATAAGCAAATACAGAAAGCAAACGATTCCTTTAATAAGGAGATAGAGATTCTGAAAAGAACAAACACAAATCCTTGAAATGAAGGAAAGAGTAAACCAATTTAAAAACTCAATAGGAGGGCTGGGGATGTGGCTCAAGTGGTAACGCGCTTGCCTGGCATGTGCAAAGCACTGGGTTTGATCCTCAGCACAACATAAAAATAAAGATGTTGTGTCAACCGAAAAATGAAAAATAAATAAAAACAATTTAAAAACTCAATAGGAAGCATCTCCAACTGAATAGATCACTTTGGAAGACAGGACCTCAGACATTGAAGGCAAAATATATAACCTTGAAAAAAAAAGTTGACCATAGTGAAGATGGTAAGAAACCATGAGCAGAGGATGCATGAATTATGGGATAATATGAAGAGTCCAAATTTTAAAATTATTGGGATAGAGGAAGGCATAGAGGTCCAAACCAAAGGAATGAACAATCTATTCACTGAAATAATATCAGAAAAATTTCCCAACATGAAGAATGAATTGGAAAATCAAATAAGAGAAGCCTACAGGATGCCGAATGTACAAAATCGCAACAGATCCACACCAAGGCACATCATAATTAAAATGCCCAACATAGAGAATAAGAGAATTTTAAAAGCTACAAGAGAAAGTAACCAGATTACATATAGAGGGAAACCAATTAGGATCTCTGGTTTCTCAATGGAGACCTTGAAACCTACAAGATCCTGCAACAAGATATACCAAGCTCTGAAAGAAATGGATGGCATCCAAGAATCATCCAGCAAAACTAAATTTTGATTAATAATTATATTTTGATTTTGATATGTTATCTTTAAGACAAAATAAAAACCTTCCATAATATATAAAAAAAATTACAACTAGAAAGCCTGCACTACAGAACATCCTTGGCAAAATATTCCATGAGGAGAAAATGAAAAACAACAATGAAAGTCAGAAGAGGTAGGTATTACACTAAAGGAAAAACCTACCAAAGAGAAACCAAGTCAAGATAAATGCAAAAAATAGACAAAAATAACTGGGAATACCAATCATGTCTCAATAGTAACCCTGAATGTTAATTTCCAAAACTCAGCAATCAAAAGACAGACTGGCAGATTGGATAAAAAAAAGACCCAACAATATGCTGCCTTCCAGAGATTCATGTCATAGGAAAAGACATCCACAGAGTGAAGGTGACAGGTTGGGAAAAAACATATCACTTGGGAGCTGGGGTTGTGGCTCAGTGGGAGTACACTAGCCAAGCATGTGCAAGGCCCTGGGTTCGATTCTCAGCACCACATAAAAATAATAAAGGTATTGTGTCCAACTAAAAAATAAACAGTAAAAAAACATTCATCAGGCTGGGGCTCAGGGGTAGAGCGCTCACCTAGCACGTGTCAGGCCCTGGGTTTGATCCTCAGCACCACATAAAAATAAATAAAGGTATTGTGTCCATCTACAACTAAAAAATGAATATTAAAAAACATACCACTCAGACTGTGGAAGCAAGCAGAGGTTTCCATCCAAATCAAGTAATGTGGACTTCAAGTGAAAATTAATCAGAAGGGACAAACAATAATATTTCATACTCCTCAAGGGAGCCATACACCAACAAGAGATAACAATTATAAATATCATCCCCTAAAGAATGGAGCATCTATGTTCATCATACAAACTCTTCATCATTTCAAGAGTCAAATAGATCACAATACAATAATTCTAGGTGACTTTAAACATCTCTGGATAGATCTTCCAAACAAAAGCTTACAGAGAAATTATAGAACTCAATAAGACAATTAATATCTTAGATTTAACATATATAGAATATTTCATCCTTCAACAAGTGAATGCACATTCTTCTCAGCAGCACATGGATCCTTCTCTAAAATAGACCATATACTTTGCCATAGGGCAACTCTTAGCAAATAAAAAGGAGTAGAGATACTACCCTGCATTCTATCAGATCATAATGGAATGAAAATAGAAATCAATGATAAGAATAGAAGTTACTCCAAAAGATGGAGACTAAATAATATTCTACTGAATGAACAATGGATTGTAGAAGACATCAAGGAGAAGATTTAAAAATTCTTAGAGGTAAGTGAGAACACAGACACAACATCAAAATCCTGGGGACACTATGAGAGTAGTACTAAGAGGAAAAATTATTGCATGGAGTTCATTCCTTAAGAAAAACCCAACAAATAAATTACCTCACACTACATCTCAAAACCCTAGAAAACAAAGAGCAAATCAGCAGAAAAAAGCAGAAGGCAAGAAATTATTAAAATCAGAGCCGAAATCAATGAAAATGAAACAAAAGAAACAATTGAAAAATTGACAAAACTAGAAGTTGGTTGTTTGAAAAAATAAATAAAATTGACAGACCCATAGCCATGCAAACGAAGAGAAGGAGAGAACTCAAATTACCAGCATCATAATGAAAAAGGCAATATCACACAGACACTAGAGAAATACAGAGGATAATTAGAAATCATCTTGAAACCTTGTACTCTAATAAAATAGAGGACAGTGAAGGCATTGATAAATTCCTAAAGTCATATGGCCTGCCCAGATTGAGTCAGGAAGACATACACAACTTCAACAGACCAATATCAAGTGAGGAAAAAGAAGAAGCCATCAGAAGATTGATAACCAAGAAAAGCCCAGGACCAGAGGGATATACAGCCAAATTTTACAAGACCTATAAAGAGGAACTAATACCAATACTCTTCAATTTAATTCAGGAAATAGAAAAAGAGGGAGTACTTCCAAGCTCATTCTATGAGTCCATATCACCCTGAATCCAAAACCAGACAAAGACACCTCAAAGAAGGAAACTTCAGGCCAATATCTGTAATGATCATAGATGCAAAAAATCCTCAATAAAATTCTGGCAAATCAAATACAAAAACGTATCAAAACCATTGTGCACCACGATCAAGTGGGATTCATCCCAGAGATGCAAGGTTGGTTCAACATACAGAAATCAATAAGTGTAATTCATCACATCAATAGACTTAAAGATAAGAATCACATGATCATCTCAACAGATGCAGAAAAAGCATTTGACAAAATACAGCACCCCTTCATGTTCAAAACACTAGAAAAAATAGGGATAACAGGAACATATCAACATCATAAAGGCTATCTATGCTAAGCCCCAGGCCAACATCATTCTAAATGGAGAAAAACTGAAGGTATTCCCTCTAAAATCTGAACAAGACAGGCATGCCCTCTCTCACACTTCTATTCAACATAGTTCTTGAAACACTGGCCAGGGAAATTAGATGAAAGAAATTAAAGGAATAACTATAGGAAAAGAAGAACTTAAACTAGCACTATTTGCTGATGATATGATTCTATACCTAGGAGACCCAAGAAACTATACCAGAAAATTTCTAGAACTAGTAAGTGAATTCATCAAAGTAGCAGGATATAAAATCAACACCAATAAATCAAAGGAATTTCTGTATATCAGTGACAAAGCCTCTGAGAAGGATATGAGGTAAACTACCCCATTCACAATATCCTCAAAAAAAAAAAAAAGTAAGATACTTGGGAATCAACTTAACAAAAGAGGTAAAAGATCTACACAATGAAAACTACAGAACCCTAAAGAGAAATCAAAGAAGATGGAAAGGTCTACCTTGCTCATGGATAGGCAGAACTAATATTATTAAAAATGACCACACTACCAGAAGCACTACACATATTTAATGCAATTCTGATCAAAATCCCAATGGCATTCCTCATAGAAATAGAAAAGTCAATCATGAAATTCATCTGGAAAAATAAGAGACCCAGAATTGCTAAAGCAATTCTAAGCAGGAAGAGTGAAACAGATGGCATTGCTATACCAGACCTTAATCTATACCACAGAGCAATAGCATGGTACTGGCAGCAAAACAGGCTGGCAGACCAAAGGTAGAGAATAGAGGACACAGAGACTAACCCACAAAATTACAACTACCTTATATTAAACAAAGATGCCAAAAGCATACACTGGAGAAAGGAAAGCATCTTCAACAAATGGTGCTGGGAGAATTGTAAATCGATATGCAACAAAATGAAATTGAATCCCTATCTCTCATCCTGCAAAAAAAGTTAACTCAAAATGATCAAGGACCTAGGGATTAAACCAGAGACTTTGCAGCAAATAGAAGGAGAAGTAGGCCCTAATGTTCATCACATGAGGCTAGCCCCCAACTTCCTTAATAAGATGCCTATAGCACAAGAATTAAAACCAAGAATCAACAAAAGGGATGGATTCAAACTAAAAAGTTTTTTCTCAGCAAAGAAATCAATGTGTGAGGTGAACACAGAGCCCACATTCTGAGAGCAAATTTTTACCCCTCACACTTCAGATAGAGCTCTAATCTCTAGGGTATATAAAGACTCAAAAAGCCAAGCACCAAAAATAAAAATAAATAAAAAAATAACCCAATCAACAAATGGTCTAAGATCTGAACAGACACTTCTCAGAAAAGGATATACAACCAACAAATATATGAATAATGCTCATCATCTCTAGCAATCAGAGAAATGCAAGTCAAAACTACTCTAAGACACCACCTCACTCCAGTGGCAGCCATTATGAAGACAAACAACAAGTGCTGGCGAGGATGTGGGGGAAAAAGGAACACTCATACACTGCTGGTGGGACTGTAAATTAGTGCAGCCAATTTGGAAAGCAGTATGGAGATTCCTTGGAAAGCTGGGAATGGAGCCAACATTGGACCCAGCTATTCCTCTTCTCAGACTATACCCAAAGAACCCCAAAACAGCATACTACAGGCACACAGCCACATCAATGTTTATAGAAGCACAATTCACAATAGCTAAACTGTCGAGACAACCTAGATGCCCTTCAGTGAACGAATGGATTAAAAAACTGGCATTTATACAAAATGGAATATTTCTCAGCACTAAAAAAGAATAAGATCAGGGCATTTGCAGGGAAATGGATGGCATTAAAGATTATGCTAAGTGAAGTTAGGCAATCCCCAAAAAGTCAAATGCCGAATATTTTCTCTGATATAAGGGGGGGAGGTGACACAAAGTGGGGTAGGGAGGGAGAGCATGGGAGGAAGATTACCTCTAGATAGGGAAGAGGGGTAGGAGGGAAAGGGAAGGAGAAGATGAATAGCAAGGATGGTGGAAGGTGATGTTCATCATCATACAAAATACACATATGAAGAGGTGAATTTGGTGTCAACATACCTTATATACAAAGATATGATTAATTGGGGTATAATGGTGTATTAAGAATTGTAATGCAAAAAAAGAGCTCATGTATCTTAGCATAATTTGGCGTGAACATACTTTATATGCAGAATTATGAAAGATCGTGCTGTGAATGGATGATTATCAATGTAATGCATTCCACTATTGTCATGTATGAAATAAACTTTTTAAAAAGGAGGAGAATGGGTACAGCACTAAGGCCAGACGGTCAACGTCGTCACCACCCATCATATAATGCAAACTCTTTTCTAGTCTGGTTCCCAGTGGGAATTAAAAAGTACTGGAGACGTCAGTAAGTCGCCTGCAGGGGCACGAAACCATTGCTACCGATTGCATCACCTCCTCACTATATTCACAATTATCTGCCATTGTGGATGAGCCACTGTCAAGCGGTCCCCAAGCTGAGAAGTGATCACACCTGCGGCTGCCCCACTGGCATGGAGGAGACAACTAGCCCAGGTGGATTCCAGCACTTTATTACCAACAGGAGCAGCAAAGATGAGCCACACGTCAACCCCCAGACACCTGGTCCCACGGGGTGACACCACCTGTGGCCGCAGGTGCTGGGGGCTCTGCTGCCGGGAAGCCAACTCTGTGCTACAGCCAAGTAGGTCCATGAACTCACAGGAAGCTGAAGAGAGCGTTGGTGACAACTCGTCTTCCTGTTGGAGAAAGTTCCTGTGGAGTTTCTTTGTTTTCCCTGTGGCTCTGTCAATGACGACATTTCATGGTATGGCACATCTGGAAACAGCCTGCGCCTCCCTTGTCCCACAGTCCCGTCCACAGAGGTGCCCCTGGGAGCTACCCAATGCACCCCCAGGCCCACGAGGACCACTCTGCTCATTTCCTGTAACCCCCCAACAGGCGGCAGAGCCCCTCGGGCATCCTGTGGGGATGGCCTGGGTTTGGGGTGCTCGGTTCCTCTTTGGTGTCCTTGGCTAAAGCCATAGCAAAGCTCTGAATTTAAACTCCATCAGCCCCAAATGTCTGTGGTCGAGGATGGAGCTGCTGGGAGGTGGGGGACCAGTGGGGGGGACCTGGGAGCTGAGGACGGGGCTCAGGGCCGAACACTTGCCGAGCTCGTGCCAGGGCCTGCTACTCCATCCCGAGGGTCACAGAGGGAAGGAATGATGGGCCCAGCAGGTCACTGGGAGCAAACCCTGGTGGGATTCGGGGACCCTGCCCCCTGCTCTCTGTCACTCTGGGTTTTGCTCCCTGCCCTCTCCCACCAGGACGTGGTTTGTATTTAATAGAAAAAACTTCATTAACTTAAGTTACGCCACACTGACCCCTGGTCCCCGTCTGCTTCCTGTCTTGGTGACATTGCTTGCTGCGGATGATGTAGAATTCCCCCTCGAGCCCTGGACATGACTAAGAGGACCACCAGAGTTCTGGCTGCCACAGGAAGAGACTGAGGGAAGCTTCTAGCAACCCTTGGAAGCCCCAGAGGAACACAGGAAGGCGTTACCCCTCCCCTTGGGGTCCTTGTTGGCCTGCAAGGCCCCATGAGTCCTGGGGGACCCCCTCGGTCTTAAGCTCCCTGATCTCTTTGGCTTGGGGGGGGCATGGGTCACTTTGTGCTACGAGGAGACATGTGTCCTGGCTTGTTGAGGCTGCAAGTCACCAGCAAGAGCCCCAGCTTTTAAAGTAGCTACTGAGTGGGGAGACAGAGGTCCCCTGGGTGGGGGGGGGAAGGGGACAGAGGGGAAGGGGACAGGAAAGAGGAGACAATGAAGGGGACGCAGCCTCCCTGTTTCCATCTTGAACACAACCAGTGACACCCCACAACACGTGGGACCACAAGAATCAGCATCAGCCTGCGTCCTGCTGTCATGTGTATCTACAAAGAAGGAAAAAGACCACGAGAATGAATGGCCATCACCACAGGGCCAGCCCTGACCTCCTGTCCTGTTGTGGGCAGGGCTCGTTAACAAGAGCTCAGGTGTCTGTTCAGGTCAAACGGGCAGCAAACAGTAATGTCTTGCCAAAAAACGTTGCCAGGTGGCTCAGGGGATCTGGGTCGTGGGGACACATCTTGGAAGTTACTGGAACTCTCCTCAGTGAGGACAGAGACATCATGGGGGACAGGCAGGTGTCAGGGTGGGCCCCTCAGCCGTGAGCTGCCCACCAACCTGGGTGGCCATAGCCTCCTAGTGAGCTGCACCTGAGGAGGATGGGGCAGCCCGTCCCCACGGCATTTCCCCTTGGGGGGGCTCCTGCCTCAGTTCTGGGGGGACAAGGGCTGGATTAAGCACAGCAATCAAAAGAGATGAGCTAATAGACACGTGGGCACATAAATGCACCGCAAGGGAAACAGCTGGTCCAAAATGTCACATTGCTTTGGCTCCAACTGTATGACTCCAATAAAATGGGGAAACAGTAGACCATGGAAACATTAAGGTTGCTGGGGATTCCGGGAAAAGGGGGAGGTGGACATCTGTAGAGGGGGACGCCTGGTGTGGTGGACCTACTCCCTAAGCTACTCATGGTGGCTACTCAATGCTGTGCTTTTGTCACTATTTATAGAAATACAAAACAAAGAGGTTGATTAATGATGATCTATCCACATCAACATTACATTGGCCCCGTAATTGTGACAAATATCACAGAAGTGCAAGATGTAAGTAATAAGGAGAACCCTGTGGTGGATAGCCGTATGGGGACTCTAGAGTATGTCTGCATTTTTCTGTCCAGGTATGTCATTAAAAAAAATAAAGTCAATTAAGTGCAACATACAGAATACGCTCAGGGACTTCTGTGGACTCAGCATCCCGTCTGCAGAAGGAGCCCTCACCCAGGGCACACAGATGCCTTTGTACCTGAGTTAATTATGCACGGCACCCAGCCTCACCTTTACTGACTTTGCCTTTGAGGTTTTGCTGGTCCTTTTATACCAGTACATCCAACAAATTAATTTTTATATTTTCATTCCTTTTTATACAGAAACATGAAGAAAAGTCCCTAGGAAGGACACCAGTTCCTTAGGTCCCCAAATTTTTAAACACCCTTCTGTCACCCAAGAATGATTAGTAATTTTCCAGTAATGTAACTAGTGATTCCTTAACTATGGAGGAAAATGTGTTCCAAGTGATCCTACACCACTCAGGCTTAAGGAGAAAAAGATGTGGGGTGGCTCTAAAATAATGGCCCAGCTGAGGGGCTGCAGGGTGGCACCTTTAATGCCAGCAGCTCAAGAGGCTGAGGCAGGAGGATTCCGAGTTTGAGGCCATCCTCAGCAACTTAGTGAGGCCCTAAGCACATTAGAGAGGCCCTGGCTCAAAATAAAAAGTAAATAAAGATCACTGGGGAGCGGCCTCAGTAGTTAAGCACCTCGAAGTTCAGCCCCAGTCCCAACAATGTACACAGGGAGATGCGAGGTGGCGGGTTCAGTGATGCAGGGTTTCTCGGAGCTCACCTGCTTGGGACTCCAGCAGTGGGAATCCTGCTTCCCCCAAGGTGGATGAGAAAGGGATTGAACTAGTACTCAATAGAGGACAAAGAGCCCAAGAAAAATAGATAGTGTGAATGCATTAAATGAGTGCGAATGCATTAAATGAGAAAGGAAAAAAAAAACAGAGAAAGTTGTTTGCAGGAGGCGTAGGAATACCACACAGCCCAGGAAAAGCCGAGAACTTCTAGAAACAGGCTTAGTACAGGAGACCCCGAGACTGAAGGCCGCCTAGCCTGGCCAATAGGGAGGCTGTGGGACTCAGTAAACCTGCCCAGGGAACATGCCCTGAGCTTACCAACCACCAGCCAGGAGCTGAGACAGGTGCCATCAGGGATTAATGCACACCTGCCTGAAGGCAGCTGGGGAGTCAGATCCTGAGGATTACACAGAAGGGACCGAGGGAGGGGGCCTTGGGATGGGAAGGACAGTGGAATGAGAGGGACATTATCACCCTATATACGTGGATGACCACACCACTGGTGTGACTCTGCACCATGTTCAGAGGAAGAAGTTGTGCTCCGTCTGTGTACAATGTGTCAAAGTGCCTGTACAATTAACTAAAACAAATAAAGTTAAAATGACTGGCCTGTCGCATACAAAGACATTAAAACGATAATGAATCAAGATCAAGTAGGCCTTATCCCAGGGGTGGCAGGTTAGTTCAGCATCTGGAAATGAATGAATATGATTCATCCCATGGACAGACTTAAAGACAAAACCCATCATTATTTCAATATGTGCAGA